AGCGGGACGGGACGGGGGCGCAGCGGTTGCCGCGGTCGCGCATCTCTGGGCGGCCGGCGGGGATTCCCGCAGCCTCCCGGGGCCGGCGGCGCGGGGTAGCGCCGGGGCTGCCTTCACACGTGAAAAGATCCGATTGCGCTGCTCCGGAGAAGGTATTTTCGTTAACTGCTACGCAGAGGGCAAGGTCGTTTTAAAACTGATGCAAAATAATACAGATTGACTCTATGTTTTTCCCCCGAGGAACAACTGAAAAGGCTGCGAACAAGTTTATCTCAGGTTTCCACCGATTTCTTTTCAGTTTGCGTACTCTGCTCTGGCGTTTTCGATCTTTTCCTTGTCCATGTGGGCAGGTTGCCTTCGTTGCCGTTTCATTCACACGGAATATAGGACTAAAATAAGTACTGTGCTGCTTTCTTTGGTAAACTAATTAGATTTCAAACCGATTATATCTTTGTAATGTCACATAAAAACACACATGCATCTTTCGGCAATAGAAATGTGTTAGAAATAATATAAAAGTTCCTTTCACACCTCCATTTCCAGGTCTCTCTGCACACCAGGCAGCAAGTGAGTGTTTGCAAAAATTATTGCAATTATCTGAAAACCAAACCTCTTTCTTGTAAAATTTTAAACGAGGTTGCATGGAAATGGACCATTGCCCAGTGGCATTTTCTTTGGGGTTTGGGAATAGTTTTTTGGACCAGGATATTTGGGTGACTCCCGGGCTTCCAGAGCTCGCAGCAGCACCCCGAGCGTGTATCCTGATGGCACCAGCATGAGGACTGCTGCTGCCCACCCCCAGTGCATAACAAACACGATTTTGATTCAGGGATCACTGCGGTTTGGCTGCGCACACGTACGTACCTACAGCAGATTCCGTGTTTCTGCGTAACGGATTTTCCTGGGGCTTTTGCTGTATGTATCTGATGAGAAATCTGACAGTGAAGAAATTCAGAGTGAAATGCCTCATTTCCACAGCTGAAATTTTGCCTTTTTTTTTTTTTCCCTCTCTCCATAGGCCCAGGATTTCATCTGATGCAGATGTGAAGCTCCTAAAACAGAAACTCAGAGGGGCGCTCAAGGAGATGAGGTTTTTAGGTATGTGTGTTTTTACGTACTGTATGTCATGCAAAGTCATTCTAGTTCTAAATCTGGTTATACACCAACACACCAAAATCAAAACTGTGTGTAAACCAGCCCTAGTCCTGTATTTCAGTAGGTAAGCAGGTATTTATACCAACCCAGTCTGTATCCTTGGGTAATTCGGACTTTTATAGTAATCAGGGAAGACTTATTCATTTTGATGGGATGGCAAATGAGATATCCTGCTGATAAACATAAATTGATAGATTATTCTGTCCATTCTCATGATCGTCTTGACTCTACAGTAGCAATAATGATAATTTTTTTATGCCACTAAAATGCAGCCAGATCTGACCGCCTTAACACAATGAGAAAATATCAGGAAAAAAACCACATGAGACCTTTTTTATTTTAAGTTAAAGGAAACAGCCAAATTAAGGAGCATTTTTCAGCCCTCACTCAAGACAAGCTCATGTAAATTTAATGTGAGTTTTATGTTATATTGCTCATAAATTTCACAACAAAATAATGACTTTTTTTTCCTTTGGTTTCCAGTTATAATGCACACAGAGTATTTAAAAAATAATTTCAGTCTAAACTGTACTACTATTTAAGAGAACATTACCTAGTAAAACTGTGAGCCAGATGAAGAGCAAATTAATCACAGTAAACCACCTGAAATAATAATGTCTTCTAAATACCATCAAATTAGAGCATTGCAAAAAGGATTATTTAGAAACCTTTCCACTTTTCTGCTAGAAATCTTTGACTTGGTTCATGGTCTTGGTTTTTTTGACATTATCAGCCGCAATTACAGAGGGACATCAGTGGGATTTCAGTGTGCAGTTGAAATGCTTTGCTAAATCAAGGCCTAATTTGTGTAAATTTACATCTTCAGTCATTTACATGCATCGGTTCTATTTATTTTTTAAAAATTACATAGTATTTGAATGAAATTAAAAGCTTTAATAGCTTGTTCTTGCCTTTGCTGTCTAGCCGGGCAGTCACAGAAACAGCTGCTCCCAACACGTGAAAGCTGGAGTCTGAGACACCTAGAAAGGCTGCTTGACTGAGGAGGAAGGGATCAGGTATTATTCTAGCTAAGAAAGGCTGCACTTTTGGGGAGTATTGGTTTAATTGCATTTTACTGTGGAATTGCATGAATTAAAGCACTGTGAGTTTTATTACAGGCAGCGGTGACTGACCGTCTGTTGGGAAAAGACCTTGTGGCCATAGTTTTCAGCTTGACTCGAAAGTTTTTTGCCGTTGTTTACAAAAGGTTCTCTTGCCCCCCAATGGCCAGGATACAGCTTACAAGATTCTTTAAAGTCTGAAAATGTAGAAGATAAAGCATGGAAATTTTTGAGTAACACCGGGGGAGGTGGGGGGCAGAAAGACAGGAGAAGGTGGTTCCTGATCCTTTAAAATCATAGGCCAGATTTTGCCCTTCAAAAACTAAGTACTGTGCTCTGTGGCTCCACTCAGTGCTGCATCTGAAGATGATGTTATTTCTTCCGTCATCCATGCAGCACTGATCACCTATAAGACTCTTGAGAAAATTATTGCAGCTAAATAGAAAATATACTGATGGTCCCACATACCAAATTATACAAATAATATGTTTTAAAAATTGCACTTAGCCTAATTTTTAGCTGGTAGTAAAAGGAAACCACTGTGGCAGTGCTACTCAGCATTCCCTGTTGGGCTTTCTCAGGGCTATGAGTGACTCAAAAAATTTGCTCTGTGTAATACTGTCCAAAAAAAAAAAACCAAACAAGTAACAATCTTTGTGAAGAGTTTAATTTCTGTTTCTGTACCTGTGAGTGATACCAAATCTATAAGCAGCAAGCGGGAAAAGCAGCTTGGACGTCTGCATCCCGGCTTTTCCTGGCATGAGCAGCACTTGCATTTCGGATGATCTTTGCTTTTAGAATGCGGTCTCTTCAGTGCAGCACGGCGGTTGGCTTTAGAGATGCTCTTGTTGCTTTCAGGACCCTCCCTGCCGGGGAAGTCACCGATGGACTGTGGACACTTAGCTGAGAGCAGCGAGGAGGTCTCCAGCCTGGGCTCAGAGCCCGATTCCCTGCCGCCTTCTGCGGGCAGCAACTCCTGCTTGCCCTTGGCGGCTGGGCAGCGGGCTGGGGCACCTCCCGGCAGACCCGCCGCCGCTAACGCCGCTCGAGAGCGCAGCCGGGTTCAAACGCTGCGCCATGCCTTCCTCGAGCTGCAGAAGACTCTCCCCTCTGTGCCGCCCGACACCAAGCTCTCCAAGCTGGATGTGCTCCTCCTGGCCACCACCTATATCGCACACCTCACCCGCAGTCTTCAGGATGAAGAGGAGACACCGAGAGAGGGCTTGGGTACGCTCCGAGGGGATGGATACCTCCACCCTGTCAAGGTAGGAGAGCTGAGGAGCAGCAAAGAAATAAATTGGTGTTAAAGATACTTAGATGAAATGAACAATTTCAAGCTTATTTATCTTGGCCCAGTTAATACATGAAAAGACTGCCTAGACCAACCCCACACCTAGGTGCTGTGGGCCTGATAGAAGCGTCCCAGAGCTCAATGGCTTTGTCCCTCTGGCTTCAGGGCCTTTGCACAAGACCATCAAAGGTAGCATAGGTCCAGACCTAGCGGGACTTGGTACCCTGGAATCAAAGGTGGAGGGCAGCACCAGGGGAGTACCAGCACCTCCTCGGTCCCTGCCTGGAAACCTCACGATCCCCCCCCAAAGCCATCAGAACTGGCTGTCTGGGGCTGAGGGGATGCGCTGTCCCACAGCCACAACCCCAGCCACAGCAGGGCCTGCTTTGGCTCTCCCGCCAAGGCAGCTGAGGTATGAAAGGTGACATTAATTACTGGCAACGTGTTAATTCCTTCTATGAAAGTGCTTTTCTGATGCGTTTATTTCATCTAGTTGGTATATGCTCTTCCCTTCCTCAAAAACACCCTCACAGCAATGCAGAGGGGACGTGAGAGGGGAACTGCTCTTGGAGAGGAGCTGGGACTGGAGACTGGTTCCAGATGCATTGCTCAGTGACTGACGGGGCTCAAATACCACAGGGTATTTTCTTTGGCTCTGGTCTCAGGGAGTGAGTTAGAGCACTGGGGTGTTTTTCTTTTCTTTCCTTTTTTTTTTTTTTTTTTTTTTTTCCCAA